GAAGGCTTTGAATAAAGAAAATCAAATTTATGAGACACTTAAAGATAAACATGGAAATGTTAGAAAAAATACAAGTTATGCAATATGCTTTTAATAAAACACATGGAAATCTTTATCAATATGATTTTTTAGTGCTAACTTTATATGAATTAGTCAGTACTTAAGATGTTGTTGATAAAAAAAAAGTCTGAGTTCATATAACATAACAATTAAGGAAGAAAAACATGATAGAATCCATACAGTACTGGTACTTAAAAATGATAAACTATGAGTCAGCCTTGTCATAGATCAGGAAAGAAAACAACATATTTTGTTGATTATTATCAAAGCTCATAAAGTGAAAGAATGTCAAAAAAAGATAACATAAGTATTTGTACTTGCAGGGTGGTTTTACGCATTTGAATTAATAATGCATATGTGTTGGTAATTGATTTTGTTAAAATAGTATCATAAAATTGGTAGTCTATAAATTGAGTCAAGTAGTGGTAAATTAATTGAAGCATATGGATGTACGCAGTTCAAGTCCAAGTGCCGACTTTTGACCAAACATACTTTTTATATGAGCTTATAAACTGATCTATAGCTACAAATTTCAGGGGAAAATGTCCATTATAGAAACATTGAATTCTGCAAAATTTTTATGTTGCAGTTGGTGCCTTTAGAAGAAAATCCTAAAATCAGCTGAACTTCAAATCTTATCTATCAAATATAAGTCTTTTTCAATTAACAGACTTGGAATATATATAAGAGTTAACTGTTCTTGTCTGATAATTCTTCTTTTCTTTCCACACATTGAGCAGTGTCACCTGCTGTTTTATTGGATGCCAGGCAGATTCTCCCTCCAATCAAATCCCACAACTCATATTCACTCAATTAAAATACTCTGTGAGAATTCTCCATAGTAGTAACACATCTTTGTAAATGAATGACATTTCTCATTAATTCAGCTGCAGGTTACAATTTTCTAAGGAAGAGCTTTGATAACGGTTTGAGGTTTTTCCCCAGGTGGCCTCTGGCATTGATGAGAGGGCCAGGAAGGGTCCAGATTCTGAATGACCATTAGCACACAATGAAGGGCTTGTAAATATGCTTTAATTGCCCCTTTCTGGATTTCACCACTATTTTAATAGATAGTAGGTGATTTAGGATTGCCCTTGTCTTATGTAAGAGAAGGGTGAATGCTATAAATTACAGCTGGGTGATCTGTTATATGTAACAAGATTCAAAATTGTATTTTAATTGATTAGTACGGCATCCTAACTATTGAACTGTAAACATAATTGTTAAGGTGTTGGAGTGCCACGTTTTATTGCTAATGAATCTACTGTAGATTTTCTCAGTTCCTTTGCTGGTTTTTATCCTTAAGTACATAGGAAAACTGATATGAACAGCATCAGCTTATAATTTGTTTGTCATTAAACAGGCAGGGTAAATAGCCCTATTGATGTTGGAACAACATTGAAGTAAATGGGTTTTTCTAATAATATTTCCATTATAAAATCTCAGCTGATTTTAAGCATCATAAACAATCCTACAGAGCATCTTTTCAGCTGTGGGTAGTTTCATTTTCCACTCTAATAAACTTTATTGATATTATTTAACCAAGTATCTGTCATTAAGTTTGGGTAATCTTTTTAACAAAACTGTACGAAATTTAAAGGAAGATTCCAGAGCATATTTCTTAAGGTTTTACACACTGTGACCTGGCTTTAAAACACCTCATCCTTGCTTTAAATAGACTGCTGCGTAATAGTCACATTGACACGGAATACAATGACACACCTGTATTTAAATTTTCATAAATTGTTACGAAAAAATTGTAGGTATCAGGTGGAATTCTATTTTTAACAATAGTTGTAGGGTGTTGATGAAATAGGAGAGCGCAGTCATTCCATGCAGAAGGAAGTAAACAACCTTGCAAGCACAGGTGTTGATTAGAATGAATTTTGTCAAAGTTGAAGGCCAACAAAAATCAATTTAGATACTGAATACGTTTTAAAAATGAATTATATAGTTTTAGTTATTGAATTTCTTAAATTTTGAAATTAATTTAAATTTGCTTGTAATAAAGTAAGAAAATTAAAACTTAAATCAAGTTATTAAATTTGTATTGAAGTTAACTTCTGTGGTCATGCAGGTCAACTACTTCTTATTTTCTTTCATTTCCAGACCAGTGGTAAATTACATTACGTAACTCTGCTCAGTCTGATCTGAATCGTAAATACTCTCTTCAATACTAAAAGAGTCAACAAGAAAGGCTCTTTATTATGCATTACATAATATTTTTCTCATTGCATGTCATTAACAAGTTTTGTTTATTGTTAACATAGCCAAATAGCAGATCTTGTCTATTTTTTTGGTACAAGGTTTCATGCTAAGCTATTGAATCTATACTAGTGCAATTGAATGAAATATTCTTGGTTGACAGTGAAAAGTTTGACAGAAGAATGAATGGACAGTTTCTCTGTTTCGTGTCACGTTAACACAGGACGTCCATTGAATTACTGTTATTTCATGGGAAATGTCTCTTCGATTCTACTAGCCTTAATTTTAATGGACCCTGCTCCATAACTGTAGTGTATCCTAATAACCACACCATAGTTGTTTGTCACCCAACAAGTGTTGGTTGGAAGTCAAATTCATTAAAATACCATTCACAAGACAAGGTGATTTCTCCCTAAACCCATTTAGCACTATGTGGTCAAGTTAGGACCCAAGCTGGTTATAACATTAGTGTCCCTAGTATTGTATACAAATCATGCTGCCAGTAACTACTGGGGGTCTATTATCCAACTCTGTGGTCAGGACTAATGGAATGAATGATGAAACTCGAACATTTCGTCAATTTATGTTAAATTAGTTGCTCATTTGTAGTATTTTTCTAGCATGGGAAAAATTTAGGAGAGTTTTTATTCAACAGCAAACTGGGCTTGAATAGAATATTGGTCATTAGCTTCTCTTTATGGCTCCAATACTTGCATAATCTTCATGTACATGTGATTGAAGTTTTAAAAGTTTTGAATGAATATCTGATAAGAACAAATATATCATTTTTAAGTGGGTTGAAAGTTGAAGTTCAGTGATAAATTGCCTTGTACAGCTTTTTGCCTTCATTCTGTTTTGTTTTGTTTTACTTTTCTTCATTTGATTTAGGTAAAAATTGAACATCTAAAATTACTAATGTACAAAATCTGGTATCAGATGTAGTTTAAAACAGATGGCATTAAGATAGCGACAACTGAAGTGTGTCATTGCTTACATAAAAAAAGATATATAAATTTTGTTCCAAACTCATCAGGCAGGGCATGTCACTGAAGGCTGAAAAACTAATGGCAGCACAGACTCAAATGAGTTGAAAATTTTTAACATACTGGACATTGGTAAATTTTAGATTTACTTGTTAATTTTGCATTTACCGTCATCCAGTAAATTTGAAATTTACAAGATGAAAATGTTTAAACTACAAGTGTGAAATATAAAAATGTTCCCTTACAGACTCAAAATCAGAACCGCCTCAAAGTGCATGACAAAACAGATGGACTCAGTACCACTACAAACAAGAAATTTCAAGTGAACTCTTCAAGTCTGTTACATCAGAATCATATGGTTGACTTTTTAGCTCACCTGAGCTGAAAGCTCAAGAGAGCTTTTCTGATCACATTTTGTCTGTCGTCTGTAAACTTTTTACATTTTCAACTTTTTCTCCAGAACCACTTGGCAAATTTTAACCAAACTTGCCACAAAGCATCCCTGGGTGAAAGAGATTCAATTTTGTCCAAATAAAGGGCATGGTCCAAGTAAAGGGCCATGCCCTCTTCTAAAAGGAGATATTTCAGAAATATGGAAAATATGGTGTCATATTTTAAACATCTTCTCAAAAACCACTTTGCCAGGACAGATGAAACATATGGGGAAACATCCTCAGGTGGTGTAGATTCAAGTTTGTTTAAACCATGACCTCTGGAGTAGGGCGGGGCAGAATAGATGAGCAAAGTTTTACATAGGAATATATAGGAAAAATCTTCACAGATCTTATTTTCAAGAACAGCAAAACCATGATTGGTTATATTTGTATGAAAGTATCCAGTATTCTCAGGTAGTGAAGATTTAAGTTTGTCCAAATTATGCCCCTAGGAGGTAAGGGTGGGGCCACAATGGATGAGCAAAGTTTTACATAGGAATATATGGGAAAAATCTTTAAAGCAATATGAGATGCATTTTTGAGAATTTTATTTTGCTGGTACAATGTGCTATTGTGATTAATTTGTATGTCATTTAAACCCTTATGACCAATAAGCACAAAATAAAATTTACAAATGTTTCAGAAAAAAATATATCTGTACAACTGAATATACAGTATCATATAAGAAATCATTATTGTAGGGGATGACAATAATTCAATTTTGCTTCAATCAAAGCTAATAAAATAATTTATAGCGCAAATATGAACAAAAGAAGTTTATAAATGTTTTATTTTTCTGTCATTGAAATAGTTAGTTACAAATTTGCAAAAAAATTTCCGATGTCAAACATGCAGCTCATATTGCTTTAAAAATCTTAGAATCTTTACAAATACAGCAAAGCTGTAATTGGTCATATTCATATGGAAGCATCCCCAGGTAGTGAAGATTCATAATTTGAGCAAATCATGACCCCCTGGAGTAAAGCGAGGCCATAATGGAGGAGCAAATTTTACATAGAAATAATAATAAGAAAAAATTTTTAAAATCTTTTTCTCAAGAACAGCAAAGCCATGCTTAGTCACATTTGTAAGGAAGCATCCTCAGGTAGTGTAGATTAAGATTTGTTTAAATCATGACAGGGGGCGGATAGCATGTGACCACAGTATAAGTTCAAACTTAAAGGGTAAAAAACAAAGCCACAGTTATTCAAAGAAATACGCAAGCATCCTTAGTTAGTGTAGATTCAAGTTTGTTCAGACCATACCCACCTTTTTAAAGGTAGGTATTTAAAATTTTCAATACTGAACTAATTTTTTTCTTTTTCTGAGCCTTGTAGGCCAGGTGAGCAATGTGGCCCATAAGCCTCTTGTTAGACTCAAAATTTAAAGTTTATTCACATAAATAAACTCAAAAGTAAGAGTGTATGTGCCTGAATAGAATCAGATCTTTAGAACCACCCCCTCCAATTTTTGGGACTCATAAAAAGTAAAAAGTACACATAGATGTTACATAAGTATGTTAAAATAAAGTATGTCTTCAATTAATACTAAACGATTAAATAATCAAAAGAAAAATTTCACAATCCTTATCTGCTATAAAAGTGTGTGGTAAAAATCATTTTATACACTCAATAGATACAAATCCTTGACCTTGTATCCTTTTGGATGTTGACTAGCAATGGAAAAGATTTAAAAGACAGTGGATTTACTAACCTTGATAGAAGGCCCATAAAAAGTCAATCTTAACATTATTTACAGTAGTCTATATTTTTTTCCAGAGAATCTGCCATGGAAAAGTTTTTCCACTGATCATCTTTCCCATGTAGAGGAGATGGCCTGCGATGAAGGGTCCTTGAAAGTGAGTTATTGCATCATTGTTGGGGTACGGGGTCTGTCCTTAAGTAGACAAGTCCATGATATTTATTGTCCTTCTGCTGGCTTTGCATGTCAAGGACTAGGAGTATTTGAACCCTTTGAGGGTGAAAACAGAAAAACTGGTCAACTTCTAGATTGTAAAAAATCAGTTTGTCTGAGGACTATCTTCTATTTTTAGCAGCATGGAGGAGAGGAACATTTTGAAATCTGAGTTAATTCTTTCTGGCATTTGTGATTGTAACAAATGTGAAAGAATAAAATGTGCAAAATAACAATCGCCTTCCTTAAAAAAATGAAGTGGGCCGAATAAGATACTTATCTTCTGCTTCCGTACTGATTAGGAAAAAAGAATTCTTTTTAACTCACTTGTCATGTCAGACATATTATCTAGTTGTTGTTAAAGTGCCATACTTTCAATTCTTACCAAAGTTGACACTTACAACACTTGGGTAGATTAAGTCTCTTCAAGAGCATTATCATGTTTGCGCTCATTAGATAATTAGTACTGGGGTAAAGAATAATGAAATTTGGATGAAGTCATATTAGGAACCAAAGAGCCAATATTAAAAAAAAAAAATAAGAAAGGGCTCTTCTCAATATGTACATGCAGATCTAAAGAGCTATGTACACCTTGTAAAGAGGATAGCTGATTGGCTGATTGTTACCCTATGTTCCATTGATGTAGAAATTTAGTTTTCATTGTCTTTAAGAAAGTTCTTTTGAGAGGTCTGCATTGAGAATACAGGTTTTAGGAAATGTGCAAAATTCTTGAATTTTATTGAGAACTGATGTATTTGAGTACATTCAAATAGAAAATAAAAGTCACCCCCCCCCCCCTTTCCTATCCAAAAACTACTAAAATATAATTTCTATATGATGAAGTGGAACTTCAGTAAGAGTAGTTGTATCAATAGAAACATGTATTGTTTGTTCTCAAATTATTCAGTATACCATGAAACTTAATGTCTAATCCAGACGTTATGTATTTTTGTGGACAAATACTGGGTCAACAAAACAGACAAATGGACAAAGTAAAAAATACATGTTAAAAAATTTAATGAGGGGGCATTACTGCAAAAAGGTAAAATTGACTTGCCTATTTTCATGCCCCGCCATAAATATGGTCGGGGCATATACAGTTAATTCTCGATAAACCGCCACCTTTTGTAATTTTGAAATCATGGCGGTATAGCGAATTTGGCGATGAATTGAATTTCCCATCTTCTGGAAAACAAGAAGTAGAGTTACCGTTCTTAGAAATACCATTTAGCGTTTCTATTCTTATTATTACATGTACATGTATATAAAAACATATTTCTGATTGAGGATACTTCAAGTAATTTTTTTAATGTAAAAATTCGCTATTTAAAACAAAATGTGCAGTTATGAAATAGACAAGTACATGTGGGTGCATTTTAATCTTCTATTGAAAAAAAAAAACGTGCGGGTCGATCGTCGTGATATATTGCCGATAGTAAGTAAAGTGAATTCTTGAATAAATTTATTGTTTATGGCAACATTGTTAATTAAACGTTCACAATTTATACCGTTTAATTATTTTTTCAGCAAACTTTGCATTGTTTAAATCAGAGATCATCTAAATAATATTGTTATAGTTATTGGCATACTTTAACAAGACCCCGCTTTCGTGGCGAAGCCGTCACTAAATGATTTTTATTAAACAGAAAACAAAATTATTATAAAAGTTCATGTTAAAATTATTGTTTATTTAGTTCTTGTTTAATTACTTTAAAATTGCATGTACCTTGTATGTCTTTGCGTACTTTACAACAGGGATAGTGTCAACCAATTTAAGCCGCGCTTCACTGACCACACGCACCTGTGGCGGTATATCGAGATAATTGACACTGAAAAATGGACGTTTGTTGTGAAAACAGGGTGGCGGATGGCGGTATGCGAGTTTGGCGTTATAAAGAGAATTTTATATAGCAGGAAAAACGTTCTTAGGAAATCATGGCGGTATTGCGAAAATGGCGATGAATCGAATGGCGATAATTCGAGAATTGACTGTAGTGTTTATCATGTCCATCTTCCGTCCTAATCCGTCTGTCCTTCCGTCACACTTTGCGTTTAGCTCTGTTCAAAGCTAAGTTTCAAAGAAACTATCCAAGATATTTTCATCAAACTTCATATGCTGATAGATATTGATGAGAGCTATGCAACTGCATCAACTTTTTTGTCCTTGACCTTTCCTTTGACCTTGACCTCACTTTTCTTAAATTAGTGTTTAGCTAAGTTTTAAACATACCATTCAAGATGTTATCAAACTTCACATCTTGATACATACTGATGAGAGCTATTCAACTGCATCTATACTTTTGACTTTGACCTTTCCTTTGACCTTGACCTCACTTATCTTTAATACATTTTGCTCAGTTTTAAAGATACCATTCAAGATATTTTTATCAAACTTCATATGCTGTTACATATTAATGAGAGCAATTCAACTGCATCAACAATTTTGACCTTGACCTATTATTTGACCTTTGACCTCACTTTTATCAAATTGTGTTTAAGTCAGTTATTTAAGACATCATTCTAGATATTTTTATCAAACTTCATATGTTGATACATATTGATGAGAGATATGCAACTGCATCAACATTTTTGACCTTGACCTTTCCTTTGACCTTTTGACCTTACTTTACCTAAATCAGTGGCAAACTTCATAAGCTGATACTTAATTAAGGAATCACTGTCTAGTTTTGAGAGTATGCCAGGGCATCAACAATAGTGGGAAACATGGGATAATTTGCATAACGGGCGCTAAAATTATCCCATGTTTCCCACTATTGTTGATGTCCCTGGCATACTCTCAAAACTAGACAGTGATTCCTTATATTTCCATTTCATTGTGAAATAAAATTGTAGACTTAGACATTAAGAATGTAGACTAATCGACTTAAATTACACGAGGACTTCCATGCCAATTTCAATAGTCCTCTCACACTGACGTCAAACACAAAGGCAGCCGCACGAGATTTACATGCATATCTGGCCTCCTTAGCGTCAGACACAGAGACAGATGCGCACGAGGTTTGCATGCGTATTAGGCCTCCTTAGCTGCTGACCTATCGACCTGCCTAATTTACATTCCGGCAGAATTATCAGGAAATCAACTCCGCTTACTTTCAAAGGGTTATTATAGAGAAAAAATTTAGAAATGGAAATATATACTGATGTAAGCAATTCAACTGCATCAACAATTTTTACCTTGACCTTTTATTTGACCCTGACCTCACTTTTTTTCAAATTGTGTTAAGTCAGTTTTAATTAAAGACATCATTCTAGGTATTTTTATCAAACTTCATATGTTGCTACATATTGATGAGAGATATGTAACTGCATCAACATTTTTGACCTTGACCTTTGCTTTGACATTGACCTCACTTTTCTTAAATTAGTGTCAAACTTCATAAGCTGATACATACTAATGTAAGTAATTCAACTGCATCACTATTCAAGATATTCTCCTCAAATTTCATACACTAATACAAATGTTCATGTTGCTTTACTAATATACCCTCAGCAGGGCATTGATGTCCTATGGACATATTTCTAGTTATAATTGTCAAGATGGATTAGCAGCACAGGTGAGTGCTGTGGCTCATGAGCCTCTATTTACTTTAAGAATGTCTGACTATACTTTAAAAAAATCTACAAGAGCTATTTTCTTAAAATGAAAAAATGAAAGAGATGAGAAATGTTTAGACTTCTTCCTTTTGAGTCATGAGAAACTGTCCACAAAGGATCATATTAAAAATCGTATTCAGTTGTGTTTCGAGAGACTGACAATTGTTATCAACCAGGACTAATGATAGACGGACAGGTTGGGTCTTTTCAATTATTGTGGCCATTTTCTCCAACAGGGACAACTGATTAAATGAGATAAGAATCAAATCAGAAAAAGCACAAAATTGCCCTCTTTAATTTGGAGCATTAGGGAAGGGCTAATGACATTGTTTTGTGGCCAGTTGATAATAAGATAGCAGGTGGTAGCTGTTATCAGTATAAATCCTGTATTTGTAACCATCACGTGTGTTCGGGTGGATTTTCTAGAGAACAGTTTGAAACACATCAGGAAAGAGACTCAAAAGCCTTTGGTGACAGGTTTCCCTGATGCAAACAGTTGATAAAAGAAGTACATATTACTAATCACATTGATATCTGCAATTAAGCATGTCATTGTAATAATTTTACTTCTCTTAATTGGATAGAGCAATGGAAATGTTTCTTAGAAGAGGCTCCTATCAGGATAGCTCTGCAGTGAAGTGGACAAATGTTTATCTCTTCCGCAGGGACTGTCTCACCTTCCTGTATACTAATGACTTGGCTAAGTTTCTTTGTTCGTGGCCAGCACTACTAATTCACTCTGCTATTTTGACTAATAGGGAAACTATTTTTATTCTGTACCTTACACACTAGCTCATAAACAAATCCTGTGTCCTGATAACTTGTAGCGGAAAACCTTGACATGGCCTGCTGTTCAAACACACTCTGGTGACAAAAGGACAAAAAACTTTTTGACCATTTTTCACAGCTTTGTGAACCAAGGGGCCATAGGTGAATTTTATGTAAAGACATGTAAAATGTGCAAATGTGCCGCAGGTGGCCAAAAGCCATTATCTTTTCAAAGTCAGCCATGCAGTTCCACCCCACAAAGATCTCCTTCCATCTTACCTATTATGTTTAAGAGCATCCATTGTCCATCTCGCTGAAGGTAACAACATGATTCTCTGCATGTTAAGTGGAGAGAATCACAATCTCCCACATCTAGAGGAGCCTGGGAAAATCCAGGGATGACATACGGAGGGATCAACTAATGAACAGTCTATCAAAAGATCCAGGGGGATGAAAAAGGCCACCATTATTTTGTCTCTGTATTGATTTTTGACAGTTTGCCTGGAACATTGGTCAGCACTGATGGACCAAGATTTTTTTTTTTTTTTTTTTTAAAAGTCT